ATTTGGAGCTATACCTTTTTAAAGTTTTTCTTTTATCTTTTCTCGTAAACTAAAATATTTGGGTTGTGATGATGTTACTGCCATAGAAATTGCATGATGCATGAATAATAAGGTCAAGCCTTCAGAACGTTGACTATCAGTTTGCTTGCCCCCTATTTTCTTTACTTTGACAGCTGCAAATAAGCTTGAATTTCTAAATCAACAGCTGCTTTTGCGTAACTGGTGGCATTTAGAAATTATGAGATCGGTGAATGCACCCATATATAATCTTCATTGTTTGGAACAGTGTTTCCAAAGTGAGGCACCGAATACAGCTATTGTTTCATCCCTCCCTCCTTCTTCCTTCCAGTTCCCGTTTGTCGGTAGAAAACTCTCGAAAATCACTCTAAATGGCTTCTTACTAGCTACAAATCTTCCAACACTTGCGAAACTTATCGCAGCTAACGACGTGCGCGTGCTGTGGTAGTTTTATCGGCGGGTCGGCGCTTTCATTTTCTTCGCCAGGTCAAAATTTACGGATCGATTGTTTGCGAAGTTACAGCTTTTGCATGCTATATAGCAGCATATTAATCGATGATCTTCCTGCTTAATATTTATCAAGTTTTTGAATGTCGAATTTCGCAGTCCTCACCTTTCTTTCGCATTCTTGAACAAACAAAAAAGAAAACCATTTTTCAAGGTTGATTGACTGAATGAATAAATTATTTCACTCTGTGGTTCTTCAGTTGATTACCGAAGGTTACCAGTTTGCGAAAACTCCAGTGACGAAGAAGATCGTCCAGAAATAGGTATATTTTTCTGCAGAAACATGAGCCGCGTTTTCTGTGTTGGGACTTCTGAGAAATAGCTGTGGTGGATATTGTTTCAAATCATAGATCTTCATAGACTGCCTCATTTCTTATTGATATGACAGAAGTTAACAACAAAAAAGTAGACACCAAAATATTTCAAGTTTGAGGGAATTTTGGGCAGGCTTTTACAGTAGACTTTTCTCATTATTTTTTACGGTCAAGAGTGTATGATTTATGTGTTTATGTCTTCTGATCCTGAATTTTAAACGTTCTTTTACAGAAAATGAAACAGAACCGCTGAGGACTCCAAGACCATCTTTCAAGGAGAAGGTCATGTTAGCGAAGGTACTTTTTCATTTAAGAGTTGTTGTATTTAATAGCGCTCTCCAACTAAAGGCTCGCAAATCCGAAAGAATGAAATTAAGGCAGGACTTGTGACAGATGTAGTTTAAATAAAATTTGTCCTGAGCATTATTAAGTCATAGTTTTGCTGCGAAACTCGCCACTGTTCCCTTATTTACACAGTAATCCACTAGTTAACAAAAAGTTTACAATCGAGTTAGTTTAAGTACGTGAGAGCAAATGGTCAGGTTTGTTCCATAAAACATTGCCAAAATTTTTTTCCTAATTCTAAAACGTAACGCTGCTGTAATTTTACGAGAAGATCTTCACGTCTAGCTTCAGCTGAATAAATCCTGCAAAGTACCTTTCGAGAAGTCTCCCAATAACGCGATATTTCCCTCAATGCGGTAGATCCTGACAGCCAAAAAACACATGTATATACAAAGATCTACAGAACTATATTTCTAATCGACTGGTTCGCAGTTGAATCGTCTTTTCTTACTCAAGTTAGGTCAAATTTTTCCACTATCTAAAAGAAATGATGCTGAAAGCACCAACTTTCAAAGAATTACCTCTTTTGAAGCAACCATATATTCAAGCCTCTGTTCCAAAGCATTTGCCTTTTTTTCTACGGGTGCTATTTCGCAAAACAAATTTGGCGGGAAAAATTTTTAAGCAGCTGACTCTACCACTATTTCCAGTTGAGTGAAAGAAAAATGTTACGATTCAGGTGCAGAGGAGCTGGCTTCACCGACAAAGTGGCCAGTAATAAGTATAAGTTCAACTTCGTAATTTTTTTTTTTTTGATAAGAAGCGCTTGAACAGAGTACCAAAGGTCGTCACAGATCCTTTAAACTGAAAAGCAACAAAGTGCAAAATACTTTTTGGGAGCTGTACAGTAGGACCTGTTCGGCGTAAACGAAAGGACAAAAATTTTTTCCAAAAAGTTAATGAAGCGGTCTAGTTTTAGAATAAGTGAAAGAGAATGTTCAGTTTGCTGTCACCAGATGTTATTAATTATTCCTCTGGTAAAAAATTTGGTATTTTGGTCCCCTGGACCTAAATGGAGTTGAGCATAAACTTTCTAACCCACAACTTTCTAACTAGACAAACAAAAGTAAGTTTTGCACAGAAATTTTAAATTAAAATCATTAAAGAGAAAACTCTATCATGCGCAAATCCTGCCTTAACTTCACTTTGGCTATGAGGGGCTATATCATTGAAGTATCTAATTATCACTTATTACTTGCACCTTTTCATTTAATGCTTGTCAAATCTCTTCGTTTCTTGTTTTATCTGCATTTTCAGCCGCTGCTGAAGTTTATGATTCCATTGTCTGTCGTGTATTTTGCAGAATATTTCATTAATCAAGGGCTGGTAGGTTGATTATGATTAGTATTCAACGCCTTTTGATAATAACAGATTTTCTTGAGAGTTTGAGGCCGTTTTTCTACTCCAGGTTCAGTTGCTTGTGTTCGACTGCGCTAGCGGCTTTAATTTGGGACCGTCAAGCCAGTACCGATGGTACCAGGTGAATTTGCAATTTTGACTGGTGCTAGTGAAAGAGTTTTTGTCCTAACTGTTGTTGCTTTCACTTATAATAGTGCTCGTAATTTCTAGGTACTTTATCAAATAGGTGTTTTCATTTCCCGTTCATCTTCAGAATGCATCTCACTTCCGCCCATATTTCTTCCGCTTCTAGCAGTCTTACAGGTCCAATGTCGACCATGTCGATCTTCAAAATAAGCTTTTTGAAAAACCTCTTTTCATTTTTAGCGACATGGTATTGTCATTGACCGTAATTTAGTTAGGATTATTTTTAGATGTTTAATGCTGGTTTCTTCTTCGTTGATGCATTGCGACGTTTTATACCACATATAGCAATTATTTTTGGAATCGTCCTTTATGAGGGATTATTAGGTGGAGCGTCCTATGTCAATACGTTTAACGTAATTCATAAGACAGTAAGTTTCCTCTTTTTCCGTAAAATTCGCACCAGTACGGGCATCATTTTTACCGGAACTGCCAATGATCTCTGTCGTTGTCAAAGAGTAAAATGACTTTAAAAATACGGATGCTCTTAGCGAATCTTTTTGTAATGTTTTTGAATTTAATAACAGTTCTTTTCGGCTTTTACAGGTGAGCGCTAGAGACAGAGAATTTAGCATGGGTTTCGCTTCCATGTCCGACTCTTTCGGCATTGTTGCTGCTGGTTTCCTCGCTATTCCAGTTCACAATTATATCTGCAAAACATCTGTAATATAATAGTTAGTTTTTTGGAAAAATCTTTTCCCAATTTTTTGCTGAATTTAGCGTGTATTTTCATTACTCACTGAAGTAAACTATCAGTTCTCGGGTCGGCTAACCCCTTCTTACCCGTCTTTAAATTGGAAGTCTTTCTGAAGCATTGTAAAATGTCCTCCTTGAGAAAGACAGCCAAGTTCTTTTTTTTTTCCTGTACGTGACTTTACTCCTCGCTATCTCCCCAATACCTTGCAGTCCTTACTTTGCCAATCAGTTATTAAGCTTCTTTCATTGTCTTTTAAAGCAGTGCTACTTCAGTAGCTAAGAGGCCCTGAGAATACAAAGTCAGCCCTCAGGATAGACAGCTCTTTCCCTGCCGACAAATAGGAACTATTAAGGAATTTTTGTTAGAAAAAATCACTAGATTAAGCTGTTAGTTGCGGAAGTTGCCAACGGACTGTCCGAGATCTTTAAGAATATTAAGCTACATTTAATTATGTTCGATGTGGATAATGTAGAAATTTTAGACTTTAGACTTGCATTCTGTTCTAATTTTCTGTTTCTGTGAAAACTACAAACTGTTATTAAAATCCATGACTTTTGCTCCCTAACAACCATTAAAGCCACTTGAAAGAACGCCCAGAAAATCATTTTCGCAAATCGCCAGTTTTGGATCTCAAAATAATCACTGGATATTTAACTGATCACTTGTCAAGCCCTACAGTAAACAGCAGATCCACCTCCTAAACAAGAGTTAACTAGTATGCTCCCGACTTACTGTACGTGCTGCATCAAAATTAAATATTCAGTACTACAGCTTGCAGAGGAAAATAGTATCAATCGGGAATAAACATAATTTTGAAACGAAACTGGCGCCACGTTACTAGCAGAAAAAGTCCGATAACAGATTTGTAAGCTGTTTGGTGTTGACTCGCTTATGTACTGCTTGTAGGAACAATATCGTTTGTCTGCGACAGAGATTACTCTTTTGCCATATTAAAACTGAGGAAGAACTATTACTACCAGCAGTTTTAATTAAACTATTCTGACAAATTATCTTTTTTTTTTTTTTTCAAAGCGAATATTTCCTGTATAAGTACAGTAGCAATCATTACAGAGGTATAATTGCGGGAAAGTCAAGTAACTACTCTTACTTCTAATAAATTCGGAAAAAATACAATGGTGAAACCAAACCAGAGATCAGGACCATTACACTTTTTCCGTAAAAGATGATATGTATGACATCATTAGCGAATTACAGAAGTGAAAAAGCACTGCTACTGCCAGAAAAACAGCAGCAGAAAACAAATATCGATAACGGATTTTGAATCTATTTGGTGTTGACTCGCTCAAACGCATGCCTGCGAGCATCCTTCTGCACAAATTTTTTTCTCTTTCGTGGCACTTTCGTTGCAAAATTCTAACCCTTTGTAGTTCTTTTGTAATTAGCTGTAACAGTGGCTATTAGAAACGAAAAAATATGGATTTCCCACCACTCAGCAAGAAAGACACATCAGATGTCGATGAAATATGATTTCGAATAAAAAAATTTAAACATTTTACCGGGTCATTCGGTGTAACCGTTAAAGCTGCAGTAAGTGATTCAACTGCTTCAGATATCATACTTAAATTGGTATAAGCATTTGCCTGCCTGAACAAAGCCTTAGCGTTCTTCTCATTTAAATTCAATGCTTCGGTAGCAGCAGTCAGGGAGGCCTTCCAGTCTTTCAACTAGAAGAGCAAACGGTGAGCAGTATAATCTTAATGCAAGAGTTGAAGCAATTACGTCCTGATTATTAAACTTATTTCAAAACATAGTTGTACTAACCTTTGCGTAACAAGCTGCTAAATTGGAATAAATTAGTGAAAAAAGCATGCGAAGTTCCTCGTTGTCGCGTGAAACCTCCACAATGTCAGTGCATCTAAAAGGATCTCACTGCTGAGTTACAACACATAAACTAAAACCAAGCAAGATAATTTGAGAGAAGAGTCTGATAAGCCGACTGATTTTATAAATAAAAATAAAAAAATTATTTTTGGCGCTGAAATCTGCTTCAATTGAAGAGATATACCTATCTGCAAGAATATTAAATATGGTTATAAACATAATATGGAAAAACGATATCACAGCATACCTCTTATATACAAATATAGCTTTCTCAAACTCCTTTCTAAGATAATAGTAATTTCCCCTCTCCTTCAACTGACGGGCATGTTCAGAAAGCACGGGTTCAGGCATGTCAGAAAAAACCACCGGTTTACCAACTTTGATAAGTTCGATTTCATACTCCATATCTTGGTCAGGCAGTATGTTTCGCTTGCTGTCCCCCGTACTGCCATAGGCAAGACGTGAACTACTTTTCACTTGCGCGACATCCCCTTCACTCAGTGAGGAGACAACCAAATCCCACGCTGAAAATCCACATAAATACGTATATCCCCCCAAGATATAGAATGAACCGCAAAATGGTACAAGCAAATTCAATACATTACCTTCTATAACCATGCTGTATCCCAAAATAAAAGTGATTTTTTCATAAGAATCGCTACCAAAAAGTTTATCTTCAACACGAATTACCACTTCCTGGCCATTTCGTGGCCTCAGCCCAGTTCCTTTACTTATAATCTGAAAACCTGACAAACAAGCGACTTATTGATTAGTAAATTGTCAAATGAGTAAATAAGTTTACTAGTTACAATTGTCCTCGTTTCTAACAGGGAAAAAAAGGAACAATACTAACAACATAAACTACTTATAACACGATCAGAACGGAATATAACTTACTCTATACAACAACTGGCCATTGCCAAGCAAATCTTTCCATTCAGCACCCTCCTTATTGGTTACGCCTTCAACATCGGCACTGAAAACATGAGAACTTTGCTCTGCCCAACACTCTGCTTCTAGCGCGTCACTTGAAGGCCCCTTTGCTTGCGTAGCGATCGTCTAAAGTACTTGGAGATTTAAGATTTATAGGACGCAATAAATTCTATGTGTCAAGAAATATCAACCTCATACCTTATAATCTATAAAAGGTATTAATGATATATAACAACAAAAATAAATAATGAAATAAAACCCAACTCTAATCCGCAAAGCATCTGCCAAGTCCGAATCGCTCAGCGCAGATCGTTCTTCATCAATTGAACCATCAGAAGACGGTTCACCACTGCTAACTGCACGTCTACTACCGCTTGCCTAAAAAGCTTTCCAACTTACACAAAATATATCTTCAATTGAAAAAAAATGCATTCTGTTATGAAACGGTGCATAGCTCAAAATCTACTTCAGATTACACGTTCAAATTAGACCGTAATGAAAAAATCAACTACGAATCTCAACTAGAATGTTATGTTCCGACGTTCAATAATCTTTGCACAGTTTCGCCTGTGATTAAAAAAGAAAACGAGTAGACAACAGGCAAGCTGACACAACGATTCTCTTTATAAAATTATTTCTGCTACTATGAAAAATTTTAGTATTTTTTATCCCTCTGAAGGCGGGTTTAATTTTTTATATTTCAAACAGCGAAACTGCAAAACGGTATTTTTTCTGCCTAAAAGTTTCTAGCAATTTTTTGGATTTTGAAAGGCTACCTCCCCTGCACCCCACTCCTGTGAATATAAGAAACAAGGTGACAGTCCTTCTGATGGAGAACTACATATGAAAACAAAAAATTTATTTCCGCAATAGCATCATCACCAATATGGCGGACGTAGAAAGTGATTGAGGCTACGCTTAAACTGTCAGTCCCGCTACTACTTTCATTCATCAATTCTGCCTTCCAAAAACGTGAGATTCGACCAACTCAATAAACTAGCCAATCCAAATAAGGCTTCTTATTTAATGATATGTTTGTGGCGTTTAAAGCAAACCCTGCGAGAAACTTACGATAAAACCGATCAAATATAAACCAGAAAAACCTCATTTTTATCTCCTGCATCTTTCAGAGGAACTTTCTGAGATCCCTCCTCACAGGTTGCCATGCGAAATACATAAAGCTTGAAATGCCCTGTAATATAGAGAATTATTAAAACTAAAACGGCTTTATAAACAAATGCGAAAAAGTTGCCGGCAAGCAAGCGGAAAGTTACCTGTTTCAAACCTTCTCCAACAGAGCAAGGAAAAAACTAAAGAAGAATCTAGAAATAACAAGCAACGAAACTACCAAACACATGATTAAGTCACGTGTTTCAACTGTGACAGCAATATACAGCTACACATATGTATTAAATGAAAAAACTCAAATAAAACACCCCGCCTAGACTCCATTTCCAAGAACATAAAAATGTAAACTGGAATACCAAAATATTCATCAGTTTAGACTGTACGTGTGAAGCCGCCAACAACAGTGACTGAACAAAGAGATCAATTAGCTGGAGGTCTTCAACACAAACATTAGAAGTGTACAACAAGACAAAATGAGCTTTTCGATACTCATATTACTTGGCTCAAAGAACGATGCATAGAGTAGATTTTTCTACCACTGTCTTAAAAATAGTAATACGGCCAAAAAAAAACCTATTTGCCATAACTTTCCTAACTACTTCGGAAGAAAGGTTCAGCACCTTAAATCCATAGCAACTGATGTTAGGTCATAGCTGCAAACGAGTAGCTGTCATCAAAATGTGACTGCAAGCGAGTGACGTCTCGATACCGGATAGCCATTCGTACAATATTGATTTGTGCTATTGGCGCATGGTGTTTGAGAAATATATTCCAATTTTGATCAGAGCCAACCGTCCTATACGATGCTGATAACATCGACCAGTAGAAGTAGCAAGCCAAATTAAAAAACCTCTCCAAAATAACTTCAGACCGCAATTAGAATAGCTATGTCTCAGCTAAATACTATAGTGTCAAAAATCAATGTGAACTTTAAAGTGAGAGCGTGCAACCAATATCAATGAAACCAAAATTTGATAACTTTTTTTGAAGCATATTACAATGTTTAATGCGTAAATGAGGTGCCATTAAGATGCCATTAACTGTTACAACCTTTATAATGTATGATAAATAATAAAAACTGCAGCTGAGGTTTCTGAAGTTACTTTCAGCGTTTTTCAATCACTATATTTCTTCTTTTCAATTAGTTCAACACCTGCCAAAAGATCTAGTGGAACTTAAGTTCAGTAATTAGGTTTAAAGTGGTATATGTGGCAAATTAAGAATGATAGTACACATTAAGTTTGAATACTCATGTCTCTGACAGAAACTTTTAACGTACTATGTACCCCATAGTTACAAACAAAACTTAGACACTGGAAAACCTTAAAAACTTCTGCTTCTGCAGTTGCAGATAAATAACAAATAATACAAACACTAGCTTTCGTTATTTATCATAGCATTGATTTCATCAGTGAAGCTACATTTGGACTATTAAGGGTAATGTCAAAAAACCTAAATTCATCAGCTTCTAAGTCTTCAGTGGCATGATACAAGGTACCTGCTACTCAACTAAAATATAAAACATTTTTGCTGACACAGATGCATCTGAACCATTCTGAAACGGATTTGAAAGATGCATTGAGTCTTGAGCCGACAAATATGTATAAACTGATCAGTCCAAATCACTTTTTCAGAAGCTGACAAGTGCCGTTTTTCACGTATAATTATACTTTAGCCTTCTCTCTTTTTCAGTTACAGCGTCAGAGAAGAAGTTCTAGTTGTTAACCTACAACCATTATTCAATAATAAAGATTCTCCAACCCAAGATCTCGCTGCTACACATAATGTGTTCTCGACTTTGCCTGCTACTTAGAACTTTAAGCACTTCACGGAACGACGACTTTACAAAAAATATAAGAATCTATACAGTTACAAAAACATGAAGATACGACGAACCCATAAAGTCACCGTATCCTTGCTTCCCATATCAGTTCAGGCACAGATTTCAGATTAAACAGATGTAAAGGAAGTTATCCAGAAAACCCTATTCTTTGTTCCATATAGATCAAAATACCAGATTTCCCATAAATAGTCACAGCCTCCGTGGTTTTTACTATGTCAAAAATCACTATGCGACCACGATATACACCTGTGTAAACCCAGAATTTTTCTCACTGGAAATTCTCTAAAATAACGTTAGCACTGTATAATTCATCAGAACGACTATCGTTTTCAAATCAGATGCGTGAGGAGAGTGGTTAGCGAAACTTTTGACAAACTATAAAGCCATCCCCAATCGCTTGTCGCTTCCAAAAAATGCTGATTGAAGCAAATTCCTTAGATTTTTTAAAAAGCATTTTACAGATAAAGGTTAAGTTAGAGATTGCTGGGAACAGTGGAAAAGACAGAAAAATGCCATTAAAAAAATTTTTTTCCAACCTTGAACGAACGCAACATACTTGTGCCCTTTCTTATTTACTTATTTTTATACACCACGTCGCAGCCACTCAAGAATTCAGGCAAATGAAGTAGCTGTAATCAAGAGAACGCCATTTAAAGTCCAAACACCACAGGGGGACTGGAATGCTGTTGCACATGCCGCTATTTAGTACTGTTTTCGACCATTTTTATCGCATCGTTCAGTAAAGATGGATGTACTGATTTTTAGACGGTGCAAAGGACTGTACGATAAAAATTCCATTTTATAGACCCTTAAAACGTTGCACTCCGTTCTGTAAAACAAACCGCTGAAAATGCAAAGCGCTAGCAATAACACTCTAAAAGCCCACTGATAAAAAAACGAGCCTTCTGCCGTACATATCAACCCCGCCATCAATTCAGTTTCACCAATATTCCCCTTTATTTTGGAATTTTTGTACCAACTAGTTCGTAAAACCGAATCTCTACTGTATTCAAAGGGAAAAAAGAGGGTATTTTCAGTGGAATACTGCGGTTTTTTAAAGACCCTTTCAAGACGCTACCATTTCAGCTACATTCGGTTTCCAAGCCCTCCTCTCCAACAAACGAAAGGGTTGATCTTTCGTAAAAACACGCCACCTCCTGAATCACATGTAGCATCAGACACCACTCTCTCAGATTACCTAGGCGCAAGCGTAGCACTCAACAGGAATCTAGCAGCGAACGAAAACCTGAGGAATTACGCTTGATTTTCAATAAAACCCAGGTCGCAGTCGTAACTTGCAATTCTAGCAAGAAACGTACAACATCTAAAGTCACAGCTAACATAAGATGGTGCATTTTCTAAGCCACCTTACTAGAATCACATCGTACCTAGAAATAAGCAAGTCAAGCACAAGGGAAAGCCTTTAAAATATTCTAGACCTCATGCAAACGTCAAACAAAAAAGAGCAATATCTCTACCTATCAAAAGAACGCAAGATAGGTACGAAAAATGCGCCAGACGAAACCTGCACACTGAGAGACGCAAAAAACAGCATGGAGTAGAAGTTTAGCCATCCCAAAGTTAATTTAGTCATAGAGTGTAATGGAGAAATAGTGAAGTTTTGGAATTTTGCCAGAACAAGCGCTTTTCGCTGAAGTATGGAGCGCAGTTATATAAAATAATTTTAATCACTTTTTTCTATTGAGCGGCCGCTTTCAGCTCGTTACTGTCCTCGGTTGGTAGGTTCCAAGGGAGGCGCTATTGCAGTTGAGCGTGCCCACTCGCGAACGTGCTTTTTTTGATTGTCAACTTCATTTTTTCTTTTTTCTCAAGATTTCTCGGCACCGCGTTGTTCATCTGTGATAATTACAGATTTGTCTATTTAGCTCTTACTAACTTTTAAAATTTTTAACAGTCTGATGCCAAATTGTTGTTTTAGCCATTTTGCCATCTCACAAGGCCGCTGTCAAGACAACAGGTAGTGTAATAGATGACACGGTAATTTTTTAACTGCGATTTTAGGAATCTGGAAGTGGTTCAAATCCACTCCCTGCATAATTCCATTACCTACAGTCCCTCTATTTCGTAACTATTTTGTGGTGTGTTCAAAAAATACCGATCTAATCACATTCTTTTAGTTTTGTGTATAAGCTCGTACAAAGAACACTAGGTGGGTTCAAGTCCTGGAAAAGTCTAGTTTTACCATTCTGCGGACCTCTTTAGCTGCTTCTTATCACGATAGAAAGAACAAACACCTGAACTGTAGAATTTTAGCAGCCGCACCTCCTCTCATTTTCTTGTTTTAACTGCTCTCTTCTATTGCCTCCGTTTTTGAATCTTTCATTATCTGTAGTCACCTCCCTTCATTTTTTCTGAAAATTATTTCCCAGGATTACTTTTTCCACGTTTTAACTGCTTTTCGAAATCAGGAAGCAGCTAGAGAAGATAAAAAGTGGTAAAAGCAGAAGATTCCAGAAGGTAAACTCACTGGGTGACGTTTGTCGAGTTCTACGTAGACAGCTAAAACACTTATCAAATACGCGTTTTTGGGCGGACCATTTAATGGTCAAGAAATTTGAGAACTCTGAGTAGAGAAATTGCATGAGGGTTAATTTCAAGCCCTTCCAGGCTCCCAGAATCGCAGTTATAAAATGACTGCACTATTGTTTACACCACCTGCTGTCTCGAAAACGGCCTTGTGAAATGACAAAAGGATTAATTTTTAACATTAGACCGTTAGAAAGTCAGCAGAAACCAAGTAGATAAGTCCGAAACCTACAAAGGTAAATTAGCCAGTGAATAGTAAACCCGGTATATAACAATGGAATCAAGTTGACGATTAAAAGAAGCACGTTTTAGGGTGGGCATACTTAACTGCAATATTGCTTTAAAGTTACTCAGTTCGAGAATATATAAGTTTTTTTGGCATCTGGTTACTGTAGGGAAACAGGCTAGTCGATTGATCCTCCTGATCTGCGAGCCTGCTTTTGGTTGAGGTTAAAATTATCCTTCTAGATCGGCCCTGGTCCTAATACTGAATACTTCTCATTCTAAGTCAGTTGTTTTTGATTATGAGGCCTGCAGCCTTTTTGCCTTCTTCACTGGAAAGAGCTGTCAGGTTTAAGCCACGAACGAATGAACGAGTTACACAAAAAATAACTAATATTTTTTTCATTAGAAACGGGGATGAAACGG